GGGTTGCGCATGTGGCAAGACAAGGTGGGAACATTATTATTCACGTGTGGCGAGACAAGGCGGGCATTTACTTTACTATTGCACGCGTGGCGAGACAAGGTGGGCTGTGTCAGGGATTGATTTGTGATGATTTGTGATGGCCTGGGGGCATTCTTGTTGTTGATGTTTGTGTAGTAGTACACTTACCTGTGTGAGCTTTATCTTGTGAAAGTTATGAGAAAATATTCTATATATTGTCCGTTCTTTTTCCTTATGCTTATTTGCTGGTATAGACTATGTTAGGACACTTGCACAAGCCTACACGTAGTTGAGCACTCTTATCGAATAAGAGGTTTTCTTGATATTGTTGGGCATGGATGCTCACCCTTGTTTACTTGCCTTCTATGTGAGAATGACTCTATTGGCACGTGAGTCGTCAGTGCGGTTATGAGGTGTTATGAGGGCACATGATGCCAAGTGTTAGGGTTCATGTATTAAGACCCGTGAGTTGTGATTTGTCCGAGGTTCGGTACCTCGTGGAGTTTGATGACTAAAAACCTTATGTAAAAGCGGTTGTAGTTGCTGAGTTATTACTTGTCCTTGTTGTATTTGTGATTCCGGATTTAGGTTGTGTTCCGTTCACTTTTCTGTGTCATTTTTATGGTATCCCGCTGATACTTGTGGTTTCCTTTCTTATTGCAATTACTGTATTGTTAGTCATATTGCATAGTCTTTATGTAGATATCATATTTCTGTTGTTCCTATACTTATACTTGTTCAGTTTATTAGACCAGTGGATGTTTTCACTGTTCCTCGTCACTACTCCACCGAGGTTAGTCTTGATACTTACTGGGCACCGCTGTGGTGTGCTCATTCTACACTTCTGCATAGTTTTGTACAGATCCAGGTATTTGTTCATTAGTAGCTGTGTGGGTCGTTACTGTGGAGACTCAAGGTAGACCTGCTGCTGTGCTCGCAGGCTTCGAAGTCACCTTCAAGTTTTCGTTTTGCACTGTTTATTCTTATTTCTCGACAGTTGTATTTAGAAGTTTTCTAGCAAACACTCTGTAGAGCTTATGACTTGTACTACCGGTTTTGGGAATTGTAAATTTTAAGAGATTTCTATTTCAAATTGTTAGATGTTATTTAAATAATGTTGTTATTTCAATTAATGTTAGGCTTACCTAGTCACTAAGACTAGGTGCCATCACGATACCCAAACGGAGGGGAAATTGGGTCGTGACAGTACCCGAACTGAAGGATAACTCTTAGACCTCATTTGTCGGACCTGCCGGGATAGAATAGCTACTGGTTCCTCTTCATAAGTCAAATCTTTGTCCAATTGGACTGAACTGAAATCTAACACATGGGACGGATCACCATGATATTTCTGGAGCATAGACACATGGAACACCGGATGAACCGCTGATAAACTAGATGGTAATGCAAGCCAGTAGGCTACTTCGCCCACCCTTTCAAGTATTTCGAAGGGTCCTATATACCTAGGGCTCAACTTGCCCTTCTTTCCGAACCTCATTACACCTTTCATAGGTGAAACCCGGAGAAATACTCTTTCTCCAACCATGAATGCAATATCACGAACTTTACGGTCGGCATAACGCTTTTGCCTAGACTGAGCTATGGGAAGTCGATCCTGAATAACCTTGACCTTATCCAAGGCATCCTGTACCAAATCGGTACCCAACAACCGAGCCTCTCCTGGTTCAAACCAGCCAACTGGCGATTGGTATCGCCTTCCGTATAATGCCTCATATGGAGCTATCTGAATGCTCGACTGGTAGCTATTATTATAAGCAAACTCCGCAAGTGGTAAGAATTGATCCCAAGAGCCTCCAAAGTCTATAACACAAGCACGAAGCATATCTTCCAATATCTGAATGATGTGCTCTGACTGTCCGTCTGTCCGTGGATGAAATGATGTGCTCAACTCAACCCGCGTGTCTAACTCACGCTGTACAGCTCTCTAGGAGTGTGAGGTAAACTGCGTACCTCGATCTGAAATAATAGACATGGGCACACCGTGAAGGTGGACAATCTCATGAATGTAAATTTCATCTAACTGCTCTGAAGAATAGGTAACTGCAACTGGAATGAAATGTGCTGACGTGCTCAACCTGTCCACAATGACCCAAACTGCATTAAATTTTCTCTGAGTCCGTGGGAGCCCAACATCAAAATCCATAGTGATACGCTCCCACTTCCACTCGGGAATTTCTAACTTTTGAAGCAAACCACCAGGTCTCTGATGCTCGTACTTGACTTGCTGACAATTTAGACACTGAGCTACATATGCAACTATATCCTTCTTCATTCTCCTCCACCAATAATGTTGCCGCAAATCTTGATACATTTTGGCGGCACCTGGATGAATAGAATACCTGGAACTATAGGCCTCTTCCAGAATTAATTCATGACGCCCACACATTAGGCACACAAATATGACCCTGCATTCGCAGAACTCCATCTTCCCCCACGGTAACTTGTTTGGCATCACCGTGCCGCACCGTGTCCTTAAGGACAAGTAAATGAGGATCATCATACTGTCACTTTCTGATGCGCTCATATAAAGAAAACCGAGCGACTGTGCAAGCTAGAACCCGACTGGGTTCTGAAATATCTAACCTCACGAACTGATTAGCCAAAGTCTGAACATCTGCAGCTAACGGCCTCTCACCAACCAAAATATACACAAGGCTGCCCATGCTCACAGCCTTTCTACTCAAATCATGGCCTTTTCAGGGTGATACAAAATATTGATATCATAGTCCTTCAACAGCTCCAACCATCTTCTCTACCTCAAATTCAGATCCTTTTGTTTGAACAGATATTGTAAGCTATGATGATCAGTAAATACCTCACACGAGACACCGTAAAGGTAATGCCTCCAAATCTTCAGCGCATGAACAATGGCTACTAATTCTAAGTCATGAACAGGATAATTCTTCTCGTGAACTTTCAATTGCCACGACGCTTATGCAATAACCCTGCCATCTTGCATTAATACTGCACCAAGCCCAATATGAGATGCATCACAATATACCGTATAAGATCCTGAACCTGTGGGTAATACCAACACTGACGTCGTAGTTAAAGCAGTCTTGAGCTTCTGAAAGCTCAACTCACACTCGTCTAACCATCTGAATGGGGCACCTTTCTAGGTCAGTCTGTTCAATGGGTTTGCTATAGATGAAAACCCTTCCACGAACCAACGAAAATAACCTGCCAAACCTAGGAAACTCCGGATCTCTGTAACTGAAGTAGGTCTAGGCCAATTCTGAATAGCCTCAATCTTATTAAGATCCACCTTTATGCCTTCTCCGATACAACATGCCCCAAAAAGGCAACTGAGTTTAACCAAAACTCGCATTTTGAAAATTTAGCATATAACTAATTATTCTTCAATGTCTGAAGCACACTCCAAAGATCCCGCTCATGCTCCTCTCAATTGTTGGAGTAAATCAAGATATCATCAATGAATACAACCACAAAAGAATCCAAATAGGGCTTGAAAACTCGATTCATCAAATCCATAAATGTTGCTGGGGCATTTGTCAACCCAAAAGACATCACTAGGAATTTGTAATGCCCATACCGAGTTCGAAAAGTTATATTAGGGACATCAGATGCCCTAATCATCAACTGATTGTAACCAGACCTCAAGTCGATCTTGAAAACACCTTGGCACCCTGAAGCTGATCGAATAAGTCATTAATTCTTTGCAGTGGATATTTGTTCTTGATAGTAGCCTTGTTCAACTGTCGATAATCTATACACATTCGCATTGAACCATCTTTCTTCTTCACAAATAATACTGGTGCATCCCAGGGAGATACACTGGGTCTAATGAATCCCTGATCAAGCAAGTCTTTTAACTGCTCCTTCAATTCTTTCAACTCTAGCGGGGCCATACGGTATGGTGAGATAGAAATGGGCCGAGTGCCCGGAGCTAAATCAATACAGAAGTCAATATCTCTGTCGGGTGGCATTCCCAGCAAATTTGCAGGAAATACTTTTGGAAATTCACGAACAACTGATACTGAGTCCATAGAAGGAACATCCGCACTGGGATCGTGAATATAAGCCAAAAAGGCTAGACACCCTTTCTCGACCATACGCCGAGCCTTCATATAAGAAATAACCCCGCTAAGAATGACCAAGAGTTCCTTTCCACTATAACCGAGGTAACCCCGGCATGGCTAGGGTCACCGTCTTGGCATGACAATCCAATATAGCATGATACGGTGACATCTAATCCATACGCAAGATGACATCAAAATCCACCATATTAAGAAGTAGAAGATCCACCTAGTCTCAAGACTACCAATAATGATCACACACGAACGATAGACATGATCTACTACAACAGAGTCTCCCACAGTGTAGATACACACACAGATGCACTTAGAGAATCATAAGGCACAACCAAATATGAAGCAAAGTAGGAGGACACATAGGAATAAATAGATCCTGGATCAAATAGAACTGAAGCATCTCTATGGAAAACTGGAATAATACCTGTGATCACGGCATCGGATGACTAGGCCTCAGGCCTAGTTGGAAAAGCATAAAATCGGGATTGGGCACCACCACTCTGAACTGCGTCTCTGGGATGGCCTTTAACTAGCTGGCCTCCACCTCTAACGGCCTGACCATCAGGCCTAGTTGGAAAAGCATAAAATCGGGGTTGGGCCCCACCACTCTGAACTGCGTCTCTGGGATGGCCTTTAACTAGCTAGCCTCCACCTCTAACGGCCTGACCTCCACCTCTGATGGCTTGACCTCCACCTCTAGCTGCCTGACCACTACCTCTATCTGGCTGAGCAGGCGGTGAAGCAACCGGTGCTGGTATGATGGCACGAGAATCCTACCGAGATCTGTTACTTGACAACCTAGGGCAATACCTCCTGATGTGGCCAATGTTGCCACACTCATAACATCCATCCAGATGCCGTGGCTGCTGAAGCTGAAGCTGACCCGAACGGTCCAGATAACCGTTGTAGTGACTCTGGAGTGGTGGCGCATTGATAGGAGCTGAATGTGCACTAAATGTTGGTTGCCCGGAGTAAGGTATAATAGGAATGTGACTCCATGAAGCACTAGGAGATGCCTGAAATGCTGAATAAAATGGTCTGGAAGGATGACCTCTACCAAAATTACCCCTGCCTCCAGACGAGGAACCACTGAAACCACCGAACTGACGAGGCCTCTTATCATACCTCTGCTCTCTCTCCTGTGTAAGAACCACCTCGATCCTCCTTGTGACATTAGCATCCGCCTGAAAGGAAATCTCACCTCCGGCCTCCTTAGCCATCTGAAGCCTGATAGGGTGAGTGAGCCCCTCAATAAACCTCCTCAGTCTCACTCCCTCAGTAGGTAGTAAAAGGAGAACATGATGGGCTAAATCCACAAAATGGGATTCATACTAAGTAACAGTCATACTGCCTTGTTGTAGACGCTCAAATTGCATGCGGTAATCCTCTCTCAATGTGATAGGGAAGAACTTCTCTAGAAATAGTCATGAAAACTGCTCCCAAGTCAATGCAGGTGATCCAACTGGTATGGCCAATGTATAATCTCTCCACCACCTCTTGGCGGAACCCGTCATCTAAAATACAGCAAAATCGACCCCATTGGTCTCAACTATACCCATGTTCCGCAGCACCTCATGGCAGCAGTCAAGATAATCCTGTGGGTCCTCAGAAGGTGTACGACTGAAGTGAACTGGAAAGAGCTTGGTAAACTTATCCAGTCTTAATAAGGCCTTAAAAGACCTGGCAATCCTATCATCGGCCTGTGCCGCAACAACTGGCCGAACTACCCCAACCGGCGGGGCTGCTAGAGCCTGATTCTGGGGAGCCATCTGCTCCGGAGCAGGAGTAGTGGGAGTTTGTACTCCTCCCCTAGCCTGTGAGATGACTGGTGCCACTGGAAATGTACCATTCTAGGCCACGCCCTCCATAAGACTTACCAAATGGACTAGAGCATCCTGAAGCACTAGAGTAGCTATGAATCCTTCCGGGACCTGAACTGGTCCAACTGGTACAGTCTGAACTGGAACCTCCTCCTGAAGATCCACTTGAGGTTCTACAACAGGTGTGGCTTCTCAAGCTCTAGACTGAGCTCTACCTCTACCTCGGCCTCTAGCACGACCTCGGCCTCGACCTTTACCCATGGCCATAGTTTCCAACGGGGGCTCTGGTCCCTGTCCGTGGGTAGATGTATTATGTGTTCTCGCCATCTGCGAGAGAATAAGAATAGAATGGTTCAATTATCGATGATAGAATAAAATTGCACGACAGGATAAGAAAGAAGTGATATTGTTCCTAAACTTTATAGCCTCTCAAAGATAAGTGCATACGTCTCCGTACCGATCCTTCAGACTTTACTAAGTTTGCTCGTGACTCATGAGACCTACGTAACCTAGTGCTTTGATACCAACTATCATGACCTGAAATTCCCACCTTCGGGACCGTGATGGTGCCTAACATTTCACTTGCTAGGCAAGCTAACGTTAAAATATAATTAGCCATTTTAAACAAAATTTTAAATTAATTAATAACAAGAAAACAACTATGAAAATAAAGTCTGAAATAAAGTGAATATTCCATAATAATCGTGATATCTAAATACCATCCCAGAACTGGAGTCATAAGTGCACGAGCTTCGAGAATAATACAAATAAGGGTCTGAATAAAATAAAGTTGTCTGAAAGGAAACACACAGCTAAAATAAAATAGACATGGATTTTAGAACTGCAGACGTTGTGCAGTTATACCTCAAGTCTCTGGACCAACTCCGAAATCTATACAAGAAGTGCAGAGTGAAATATCAGGATAATTGACCCCATGCACTGGTAAGTGCCGAGCCTAACCTCGACGAAGTAGTGACGAGGCTAAGGCAGGTCACTTACATTAACCTGTATGCAATAATAGTAATAACAACAATAATAGAAATAAATCAGGTAACTCATTTTAACAGTTGAAGGCAACTCAGCAGGCATAACCAATTATTATTTCAATCAATTTCCATTGTGGTGTGCAACCCGATTCCACAATATATTCATATTCAATTATGTTGCGGCGTGCAACCTGATCCCACAATATATTCATATTCAACTCTGTTGCGGCGTGCAACCCGATCCCAATATATCTTTTCAATCAATTCTGTTGCAGCGTGCAACCTGCTCCTCCAATATATTTATTTCAATCAATTCTGTTGCGGCGTGGAACCCGCTCCTCCAATATATTCATTTCAATCAATTCTGTTGCGGCATACAACATGTTCCTCCAATATATTCACTTTCATTTACCAATTCTTGTAAAAGAAATTACTCCAATAAATGCAACAGTTAATATGAAATTATAAGACAACAAGCATACAATAATTATGATTTATTAGAAATAAGTGATGACAAGTAGCAATTAATTGTGAAAATTAAGGATGTAATAGGCATTTTAATAATTAGTATGCTAAACGTCAAGTGGCAATTAAGTCACATAAATCAAATAAGCATGTAGCAATTATAGCATGGATTCAAGGCATGATATTGAGCAAAGAACACAAGAAAAACAATTAATATAATAATTAATTCATGATTTAAAATAATTTATGATTTTATTTTCAAGTAATTATGCAGACAATTAATTTGACGACGTATAGACACTCGTCACCTCGCCTATATGTCAAATTAATTCTTATGTCAAATGGACCTTCAAATCTTAAATTTTCGCTTTTTGGAAAGTTTTACAAAAAATCCAATTTCTCCCATCTAAATCCGAAATAAATTATGAATATAGACTTAGATTATGAAATATAATCACTATATGATAAAGAACACTTACCCAATTCGAAATCGTGAAAAACTCCTTTGAAATCGCCCCTAAACCGAGTTCTAATTGAGGGTTTGTGAAAAATGGTAAAAATCCTGTTTTAGTTCTGTTTTAAGGTCTGGGCGTCACGCCTTCTTCGCGTTCGCGAAGAGCCTATATTCGCGATGAGCAGCAGCCCGAGTGGCTTTCACGTTCGCGAGTCCTCCTTCATGTTCGCGAAGGCTTCTCCCCCCTGGCCTTCGTGTTCGCGTAGAATAAACAACAATTCCCCCTCCCCAGATCACAAGCCTACGCGTTCGCGGGAAGCTGGACGCGTTCGCGAAGGGTAAGGCCCCCCATTGCTTCGCGTTCGCGACCCAGCTATCATGTTCTTGATGAATAAAATTCCCCTGTCCCAAATTCCTCTTCGCATTCGCGATGAAGGCGTCGCGTTTGCGAAGCATATGACACCAGAAACCAACAGAAGTCCCAAAAACCAGATGTTTCACAGAATTAAGGTGTGTAGGCTATCCGAAACTTACCCGAGCCCTCGGGGACCCAAACCAAATATGCACACAAGTCCAAAAACCTCATACGAACTCGTTCGCGCGAACAAAATACAAAAATAATGCCTAGAACTACGAATCAGACACCAAATCAAATAAAATTTTCAATAAAACTCTAAAACTTTTATTTTCACAACCGAACGTCTGAATCATGTCAAATCAACTCCGTTTCTTACCAAATTCGACAGACAAGTCATAAATGACATAACGGATCTATAAAAATTTTCAGAACTCGAATCCGACCCCGATATCAATAAAAGTCAATTTGTGGTCAAATTTTAAAATCTTTAAGCCTTTAGGCTTCTAGTTTTCGTCAGCTGGCGATAATTCAAGTTAGGGACCTACAAATTAAATTTTGGGTATACGCCCAAGTCCTAAATTATGATACGACCTACTGGAACTATCAAAATACTGATCCGAGTCCGTTTGCTCAAAATATTGACCAAAGTCAACTCAGTTGAGTTTTAAGGCTCTATTTCACATTTTAATCAATTTTTCATATAAAAACTTTCTAAAAAATTATACGGACTGCGCACACAAGTCGAAAAATAATGAATAGTGCTTTTCGATGTCTTAGAACACATAATTAATTATTAAATTTAAAGATAACCTTTTGGGTCATCACATTGAGATCACGAACACTAGCATTTCGATGAGCCACAATGAGCTGGTTATGAGAGTTCCTTGTGAGAAACCTATCCACTACCAAATCCACTCTAGGGTGGCCAAATGAGTAAACTTTCTTGCCTGGGGAAAATACCACAAGGGCGACTTCAGCACCACATAGTGTACAAAGGTCACTAGCCTTCTTGAAGAGACCAGCACGACGCTTAGAGAAAGTCACTTGCAAATTACTCTCGTTCTGCATCTTCACCATATCAACCTTTTGGCGACCCTTACTCCTTTTTGCCATGGCTAATTAAACACTCGAGATTTGAGAAACAAAGAAATTGGTGATTTTGAGTCTCAACACCAAGAGCTTTATGTAAGAAACTGTTATTTTTCATTCTCATTGTAATTGTTTTAGGTAAATGAATTCAAATAACTTGGGAGTCTAGAAACTTATGTTGTTTCTTTTTTTGAAGGATTTGAACCAAACCCATTTTGCCTCCATTCTTTGTTTCTTTTTCTCGCTAGCGCCAGTTTTTAATGATCATAATTAGACAATAAATATTTTCTTAGTTTGAGTATTGCAGTTGGCCACCATTTTATTTGAGAACAAGTTGAAAAATAATATTAAAAAGA